ATGTGAACCAGTTTGATGAAAATATTTCAAATGGTATATAAAACCGGCACACTGTACCCCATAATTGCATTAATGTACACAGCTATGATTTAATAAGAAAAGGAAGGGGGGGAGGGAGAGAAGGAGGGAGGGAGGGAGGGAAAGAAAAAAGCTAGCCAGGTGTCATGGTGTCCAGCTATTGGGGAGGCTGAGGCAAGAGGATCACTTGAGCCCAAGACTGAGGTTACTGTGAGCTATGGTGATGCCATGGCACTCTACTCAGAGTGGTAGATTGAAACAGTCTCAAAACAAACAGAAAAAAATAAACAAAAAAACAATGAGTGGAAACTAAAAATAAATGGAGTGGAGCTAGCAATGTGGATAGAAAGCAAAAGTAATCTACAAAAGTTTCAGGGTAAAAGAGACTTTATTTAGGAAGAACAACGGGAGAGTTTAGAGCACTTCCAAAAAGAGTTGAAAGTGGGTTTGCCTCCCGAAGGAGAAAAGGTAAGCAAGAGGAGCAAAGGCCTGGAGGGGGGTCAAATACTCCATTTGAAAGTAGTTGCTAGGGCGGTGCCTGTGACTCAGTGGGTAGGGCGCCGGCCCCTTATACCCAAGGCAGGCAGGTTCAAACCCAGCCCTGGCCAAACTGCAACAACAACAGGGCGTTGTGGCGGGCACCTGTAGTCTCAGCAGAGGTAAGAGAATCACCTAAGCCCACAAGTTGTGAGCACCGAGGGCGATAAAGTGAGACTATGTCTCCACAAAGAAAGAAAGTGGCTGCAAGTCTCTCATTGGCCTCTCTGTGCCTCCGGGTAGCATTGCCCTTTCCTATTGGTTATTGATTGTCTCTTTCTATTGGTCATTGGTTACCTAGGTTACTTCATAGCCACACTCTTAAGAGCCTTCCAGACTTCCTGGTTCAGTAAGCACCCCACCCACGCCCCTCACCTCCAAAGCCCCTTACTTGGTGTCCCTTCTTAAGACCTGGACAAAATAAGGCCAAAAAGGCACAAAGAGGAGGCACATGTTTACTTGTTTGAGATAGAGCTAAGAACCCCTGAAGAAACCCTTTCATGTTTTGAACCCTTTCACACATCTGTTTTGATAAGATTTATCACTAGACATTCTTTTGGACTACTAACTTCAAGTTGGGGTTCCCATGACCTCCTCTTTGGGTTTCATTAATTTACTTTTGTTTTACTGAGTTCTGTAACCCACAGAAGAATTTCAGATAACTGGGAGGCCAAGGCAGGTGTATTGCTTGAGCTCACGAGTTTGAGATCAGCCTGAGCAAGAGAAATAGAAAAAAACTGGCCAGGCATGGTCGCTCAAGTCTGTAATCCCAGCACTCTGGGAGGCCAAGGAGGGTGGATTGCCTGAGCTTACAAGTTAAAGACCAGACTGAGCAAAAGCAAGACCCTGGTCTCTACTAAAAATAAAAAATCTGAGGCAAGAGGATCTCTTGAGTTCAAGAGTTTGAGGTTGTTGTGAGCTATGTCACACCAGGGTGACAGCTTGAGACTCTGCCTCAAAAAAATAAAAATAAAAAATAAAAAAACTGAGGCAAGAAGATTGCTGTGAGCTATGATGCCATGTACTCTACCTAGAGCGACAGCTTGAGACTCTGTCTCCAAAATTAACCACAACGCTTGGGTATTTTTTAGACACCGGGTCTGACTCTTGCTCAGGCTGGTCTTCAACTGGTGATCTCAAGTGTACCTGCCTCAGCCTCCCAGAGTGCTGGGATTACAGGTGAGAGCCACCACACTCAGCTACACAAAAGAACTTTTTAGTATGATAGAACCACCTTTTATCCTTTGGCTGTTAAAAAATTGTATGCATTTATCAAAACTCAATAAACTGGCTCTGTGCCTATAGCTCAACCAGCTAGGGCGCCAGCCACGTACACCTAAGGTGGCGGGTTCGAATCCCCAGCCCGGACCCGCCAAACAACAATGACAGCTGCAACCAAAAAATAGCCGGGCGTTGTGGTGGGCGCCTGTGGTCCCAGCTACTTGGGAGGCTGAGGCAGGAGACTCGCTTGAGCCCAGGAGTTGGAGGTTGCTGTGAGCTGTAATGCCACGGCACTTTGCCCAGGGGGACAGCTTGAGGCTCTGTCTCAAAAAAAAAAAAAAACTCAATAAACTATTACTTAAATGGCATGTAAATCATAATTAAATAAAGAAAAAGAATTAACAAGAAATTACTCTCCTCAAAAAGGCATGGTTTAGAGGAAACTGCTGCCTCAAGGCCACAGTGGCCCTCCAGATCCTGAGGTGTGGCCCCTGGACCAAATCCAGATTTCATAGAACAAAGGCCTGCCTTTATTTATTTATTTATTTTGAGACAGTGTCTCGGTATGTCACCTTCAGTAGAGTGCCATGGCATCGCAGCTCACAGCAACCTCAAACTCTTGGGCTAAGTGATTCTCTTGCCTCAGCCCCCCAACTAGCTGGGACAACGGGCGCCCGCCACAATGTCTGGCTATTTTTTTTTTTTTTTGGTTGTAGTTGTCATTGTTGTTTGGCGGGCCAGGCTGGATACGAACCTGCCAGCTCCAGTGTATGTGGCTGGCACCCTAGTTGCTGAGCTACAGGTGCCGAGCCACAAATGCCTTTATTAAAAGGACTTGTTCTAGAAAATTTAGATTCACTCATAAGGCTGCACTCAAGGATCCAGAGGGCCATATGTGGCCCCAAGGCTGCAGGTTCCCCACCTCTGGTAGGCACATGGGTAGAAAACCATCCCCAAGAAATAGGTATATAGAAACCTGATTTATAACGGAGATGGCATTGCAGATGAGTGGGGAAGAATGTTAGTTTTAATAAGTAAGGCAAGGATGCATGACCATCCACATGGGAAGAATAATGATTGGAACGCTGATTCATATTCTGCACAAAAATCCATCCTACACACCTGCAAGAAGACTACACAGGAGAGCATCATTATGACTTCACACTGAGGGAAGGAAGACAGTGTGCAATAGTAAAGATAGACAAAGAGATCAATGCAACTAAAAAAGCTAAAAATAGCTCCAAGAGTATACAGGGAATTGATTCTGAAAAGGTACTAAAGCAATTCAAAGGGTAAGGAAAAATCTTTTCCACAAACGCTGGTGGAACAACTGGATATCAGTGCAAAACAATCACCTCAACCCCTCCCCCATTTCATACACATAGATTCATTTGAGATGAATCAGAGACTGAAAAGTAAAAGCTAATTCTATAAAGCTTCTAGAAGAAAATGTAAGAGAAGTTTGCTTCCTTGTAGTACATGACATTTCTTAATAGGACCAAGAATTCCTGACCATAAAAAAAAAATCAAACTTTATCAGAATTACATCTCATTTATAATGCAAAAATTTTGTTCTTAATCTTCTCTAGCTTAACTTTAATATAAATCTTTTAACAATTATTGATTGGTTAGTTAGTTTCTAGAAAAGAAAAAGGAGGAAAAAGAGAAAGGAAAAACTGGAAGAAAAGATTCAAAAGAGGAGAAGGGAAGGGAGAATAAAGAGTTTGGGTGCAAAGAATCTAAGTCCAGGTAGATGAAAGCCTATAGGTTTAAGTACACAGCCTTGTCAAAGCAACACTACTCAAAGTACAATTGTTAGTGTACAGAGGAAGAACAGAAAATACACTCTCAGTAATGAAAAAGAACAAATAGACTGGACATAGTGGCTCATGCCTATAATCCCAGAACTTTCAGAGGGCAAGGCAGGAGGGATGCTTAAGCCCAGGATTTCAAGACCAGCCTGAGCAATATAGCAAGACCTCAGCTCTATACAAAATAGAAAAATTAGGGCAGCGCCTGTGGCTCAGTGAGTAGGGCGCCAGACCCATATACCAAGGGTGGCAGGTTTGAACCCGGCCCCAGCCAAACTGCAACAAAAATAGCCGGGCGTTGTGGCAGGTGCCTGTAGTCCCAGCTACTCAGGAGGCTAAGGCAAGAGAATCACCTAAGCCCAAGAGCTGGAGGACTCTGTCTCTAAAAAAAAACAGAAACATTAGCCAGGCATGGCAGCTCCCAGCCATAGTCCCAGTTCCTTGGGAGACTGAAGTGGGAGTATCACTTGAGCCCAGGAGTCAAAGTTGCTGTGAGCTATGACAATGCCACTGCACTCTAGCCTGGGCAACACAGCAAGACTCTGTCTCAAAAAGAAAAAAGGAAGGAAGGAGGGAGGGAGGAGGGAAGGAAGGAAGAAATTTCAGAGGCCCACTGGCAGTCATGGGCCCAAGAGAGAAAGAGAAATTTAAGGACCAATTTGTGGTGACTAAGAGACCAGAGGACCCCCCCAATCAGAGTATGGCAGCAGCCTGAAGAGGGAGGTGTGCAGTAGAATTGGAGATTGATCAAACCCCATCCTTGTCTACTGGGTTCAAACTGACTGTTAGTTTATAAATTTTAGGGTTCAAGATAAAAAAAACTGCAAAGCTGGTTTTGAAACTCTATCCTCACCACACCTTGGGTGTGTGAGGTGAGGCCATAGTGATTAGGGGCCCTTATTCCGGGTGAACAATGATTGTCAGGCAGGGTCTCCTGGGAGGGATGACTAGTTTCAGCTATTTCAAAGGAGCCACTCTGGGACCCCAGCCTTCATTAACATTTCTTCTCCCAGATTTCAGAGAAATCCCTGCTCTCTGACAAACCTTCAAGCCACGTTTTCTGTTAGACAAAAAGACTTCAGTGGATATAACACTCCAAATACGGTGAAGACTTGCACATAGTTAGAAATTTCTTGTCACTTTCTTACCAGTCCAGCATGGGGAAGATATGCTAACAAGCGTGTCCTTGTGACATGATTCAAAACCTTGAGTATCTGCCTAGCATAATCCTAAAAAGGATCAGACACAAAGTAAACGAGGAGCTAATAGACAAGACCAAATTTACTGGTCAATAAAACTCCAAGAGGAGTCTTTGGCGTGAGGTCAAAGTTTGGGGAAGAACATGACACCTAATCTTTGATTTACTCTTCTTGGCAACACATCCTCTCTGGATCTCTACTCCAACAAGGATAAATGAAGGTAGCCCCTCCAATTTCACCTGGAAACTGAGGGAGGGAAAAAGCAGCAGAGGCTGAACAGAATCAAACTCCTTGGCCTTCCTCTTTCCTTAATGTCTACAAGCAGGAGGGAAGGGTTGATCTGGGAGGGAAAAGGTTAAGGGAATAATGAGGCAGTGGTGGCCAAGAAGAGATGTAAGCAGTGAAGTGGCAGGAGGCACTCGGGATCCATAACTGGCTTACATTTCTATACAGAGCAGTTCCCAGCCCCAGCACTATGCGCTATTACCCATGGAGATATATCATAATTGCTGTGTCCTTAGCCATCCTGGCCTTCATTTTCCAAGAGGATAAAAAAGAATATTCTGAGCACAGTGTATCATTGGTGAGTATTAGAGATCCAGACCTGAGCACTTGTCAATCATACAGTCCCAGGGGAATTATCTCAGTTATGTGAAATACTAGTCTCATCATAAGTTCTCTGGAAGAACATTTGAAGAACCAGAAGTGTCAGAGAGAAAATATGAACCAGCTTTGAAATATGTATGGTATTTGAATAGGGACAGAGATGAAGAGAGGGTATTTGAACTGTGGAGAAAGCAAGGCACACACATCTAAAGGACCAGGCTGACTGGCAGGACCAGCAGGCAATGAGGACCGCCTGGGTTCTGCCCACCTCCCAACCAGGGCCTGGCATGAGAGATGTTATTTTCCTCTTTTCTTACATGAAGGGATTTGAAGTAACTTCCCCAAGTGAACATAGTTTGCAAGGGAGAAGACCAAATCCCACATAGGTCATAGCAAAGTTTTGGAATCCACATTTTTTTCTAAAATGACTTAGATCAGTTAGACCAAAGCACAGGGTAGGTGTGGAGAAGTGGTTCAGTAATGTACTCATGGTCAGATTCAAGCAAAAGAAAGGACATTAGAATCCAGGCACTATGTGCATGTTCTTTAAAGACAGGACCAGGTGTTGGTCTTCAGCACATCTCAGAGGACCTGGCACAGGCCTAAGCTGAGTTAGATAACATTGGTTGGACTAACAATGGTAAGAGAAATTAGAGGTGGGCCGTGACAGGGGCAGATAAATTCTTACTCTACCTAAGCCTAGGATCTTCCCACACACATCTCACCCAAACCTGGGAAGCCGACCTCCCTGACTCATGATGAAGTCTGCCAGAAAACCAGTGTGTTCTCAGATGAGGTGGGGAGAGCAGTTAACTGAGCCCTGACACTCAGCCTCCTTGGTGACTGGGTTCCAGGGCTTGTCCAATTGCCCTAAAAGGGGGGGTTTGCTCCTTACTTGTCAAACTGCAGGCTCACATGTATCTTATCTTCAGGAAGAAAAGAGAGAAATGATTTTGAAGTTAGCTCAAAAACAAATTAACTCTGAAAGGGAGAATCATCTGGGAACTTTCAAGAAGTTGCAGAAAAAGTCCCCTTTACTCCAACATGCCAACTACAAATTCCTGGTTGGAGCCCATCCCCAGCAAAAGAGTGAGTACATGGGAGGAAGTGGGCTGACTAAGAGAAGGCCAAAGTATTTCGAAAAGAAAAGGCAGAGAAGGAGGGTCAAGGGGGAAATGATTGTCATCTGGTGAGGAAAGAAGGGTGCTCCAAGGGAGGGCTATGCTATGGGTTTTGGTGCATGTTGTAATCCTGACTGTGTTTTCCTATCATCTGGTCACCCCTGAATGACCAACAGGATGAGAAGTTCACAGTGTCCCAGATGAACCTAATTCACAGCAGGGCCTCAGGGAGAGGAAGACAGGATGAGAGAGGAACCCAGGAACCATGGGAAACAGCACTGGGCAGAAGGAAAAGGAGGTGGTGTGGACTGTGGGTCTCAAGGAACTAGCCTGCCAGACCCTTGGGTGTCCATAGGCCCCTGGAGATCCTCTGATCCAGGTCTGTTTGATCCAAACTAAGATAATTTGCCAAGCCCACAAATTTGCCTTTGCTACCCTGTGGCCTTCCCCATGACAGAGAGCCTGACCCTTCAGGAAGCTCCTCCCACTAGCCTTTCAAAGTATTGATCAGTAACTCCACTTCACAACTCCTGATTGGAGTTGTGATTATAACCTCTCAGCTGGACTATATGCTCCCAGAGAAAAGAAATGTGAATTGTCACAGGTATTGGCCTAAGGGGAAGACCGGGGAGGAGCGTCCTAGGAACTCATCACCATCCTGAAGTATTAAAGGCTCCCCTGTCTCCCCACAGAACTGCTGACGGTGGGGATTTCCTCAGTGCAACATCCTCAGGGGAGCTACCTGTTGGACACTCTGCGGACCTTGTTCCAGGCATCTTCAGAAACTGAGCCGAATTATATCGTGGTGCTGGTCCACCTGTCAGATCCTGACCCTAAACAGCTCAACCAAACAGCTACCAATATTTCAAAGCTCTTTGCACCACATATTGAGGCTGGGGAGCTGCTGGTGATCCATGGTCTCCTCGGAGGCTCTCCTCTCCTGAGAGAGCTGAGTGGTGCTAATCACACCTCACCCTGTGAAGAACTTTACTTCAGGCAGAAGGTAGATTATGTCCTCCTCATGAACTTTGCTGAAAACCTCTCTGATTACTTTCTGTTGATGGAAGATAACATACAGTGCACCCCCAAGTGTATTTCTTTCATCTATGCAGTATTATCAGCCTGGAAAGAATTACACTGGGTGATCCTGGAGTTCTCCAGCCTGAACGTCTCCGGGAAAGTTTTCCACACCAATGACCTCTCCCGCCTGACCTCTTTCTTCCTCCTCTTCCTTAAGGACACTCCTACTGACTTGCTGCTCTCTGAATTCCAGCTTCTCTTGGCCCAAAACGTTCCAATTCGTTTCACTCCCTCTGTCTTGCATCCTATGGGCAATTATTCTGCAGTCAAGGACAGCTGCTTTCCTGTGGAGAAGGACGAAGTACTGGGTGAACCTGACAACCCCCTTGCTACTGTCCTCACAGACATGGAACCAGTATTGAATGTTGTTCCACAATATGCTTATACTCTGAACGAGGAGGGTTACACGACCTTGAATCCTTTAGAAGGAAATCATTTGAGAGTGATTCTGGACAGACCACAAAAAGTCATCCGGATAGCGGTGCTGACGGGCATTGATGATGGAGGAAAATACCAGTTGCGGCAGGGGCAAGTGGAACTGGGCTACCAGCCCACTGAGGAGCCCAAAGACTGTGCTCACTATACCCTGCTGGGGCCACTGGTGGAAGGAAATCTGGACCAGCGGGTATTTTCTAAAGAAGGCTCTGAGGAGAAATTGAGTTGTATCCGACTGCTGGTGTTAGCATCTCAAGAGTCTTGGCTAGTGATCAGGCAGATCAAAGTCTGGATTGAGCCTGAAGAGGACAGTTAGAAGGCACAGGGAGGATTCTGGAAGAATCAGGTTTGGGAATGGAATCTACATGGTTGACAAGAAATAAATTCTAGAAATTGATCAAGGGCTGCTCATTCTTAGTAAGGTGAATGTAAGTAAATTTTTAAAAATTTGCTTCAATACAATATATACGGCTCGGCGCCTGTGGCTCAAGTGGCTAAGGCGCCAGCCACATACACCTAAGGTGGCCGGTTCAAATCCAGCCTGGGCCTGCCAAACAACAATGATGGCTGCAACCAAAAAATAGCCAGGCGTTGTGGTGGGCGCCTGCTACTTGGGAGGCTGAGGCAGGAGACTCGCTTGAGCCCAGGAGTTGGAGGTTGCTGTGAGCTGCGACACCATGGCACTCTACCCAGGGGGACAGTTTGAGGCTCTGTCTCAAAAAAAAAAAAATACAACATATACCAAATTATTCATTCATACATTTCTAGTTAATGTAGTTACAAAAAGAAACCAGGGAGGATTTTGTTTCTAGCAGTTGATGTGACTATGAACCTTATAAAAACTCTCTCGACTAAAACAACTTTGTACAATAAAAACTATTTTTAAGATTATTATTGAAATGAACAGAAAATAAGAAATTCTTAGAGAACAAAAAATTAAATAAAATAGGAACTCAGATAAGCAAGTGAAAACTTAAGCTGCCTTTTCCCTGAAGGAATTAACTATAACCATCACCCACCTTGCCTCCCAAAGTGTTAGGATTACAGGCTGGAGCCACTGTGCCCAGCCTATAACTTTTAATTTTTATATGCACTGAGAAACCAAAAAATTTGTGTAACTTATTTTATTGTGATAGTTACTTTATTGCAACGGTCTGGAACTGAACCTGCAATAGTCTAAGGTCTGCCTATATGCCTGGCTAATACTAACATAAATAATATTGAACAGGGCCAGGCACAATGGCTCATGCCTATAATCCTAGCACTCTGGGAGGCCAAGGCTAGAAAATCACTTGAGCTCAGGAGTTTGAGACCAGCCTTAACAAAAGTGACAACACTGTCTCTACTAAAAATAGAAAAATTAGCTGTGTGGTGGTAGGCACCTGTAATCCCAGCTACTTAGGACGCTGAGGCAGGAATATCCCTTGGACCCAAGAGTTTGAAGTTGCTGTGAGCTAGGCAGATGCCACAGCACTCTAGCCTGGGGCAACAGAGGGAGTCTCTGTCTTAAAAAATAATAATAACAGTAATATTGAACAAGATAGACTTTAAAGGTTGGGTGTGGTGGCTCACACCTGTACTACTAGCATTTTGGGATGCTGAAGCAGGAAAATCACTTGAAGTCAGGAGTTCAAGACCAACCTGGTCAACATAATGAGATCCCATCTGTATAAAAAATAGAAAAATTAATAGCTCATGGTGACACACACATGTAGTCCCAGCTACTTGGGAAGCTGGGACAAGAGGATCACTTGAGCCTGGGAGTTTGAAATCATAGTGAACTACGATCATGCCACTACCCTCATGCCCAGGCAACAAAGTAGTACCTTGTATCCAAAAAAATAAATAAACAGACCTTTGGATTTAAACAGGGTTGTGGATTTTCCAAATTTATACAATGAATTAAGAAGCAAAGAAGTTATAAGTATATTCAAGGCAATGACCATAGGAATGGACTGAATTATTAATAAATCTGTGTAAGCATAGGAGAAAGGACATAAAGGGGGTGAGATGTGGTAAAAGGTGGAAGCAGTTCAATGCATGTGTGAAGACCCAATGTCAATGACGTCTTATCTAAGATATGGGGGTAATGTCTTGGTCACCATCTGGATGATCTTGCATGTTTGTCAGCAACCTTACCGAAGCATCTGAGGAAATCTCACTGAAAATGATCCTGCAACTACATAACTAGAGGTATTACAAAAGCAGAACAAATGAATTACAACGGAAAGATGCCCTGGTCCAGAAGCACTTGACATCGCTGAGGCACTGGCAGCAGGTGCTGGAGGACATCAGTGTGCAGCACAAAAAGCCAGCTGACATCCCTCAGGGCTCCCTGGCCTACCTGGAACAGGTGTTGGCCACTATCCCTGCACCTCTGAAGCTGACCTGAGGGAGGGTATGCCAGAGTGCTGGTGGCCTTGGACAGCTTGCCACATACTTCTCATGGACACGGGTGGCATTTTGAAGAACTCTTTGCCAGGGAATGAGTTGATTTTAGTTTTATGCCCCCACCTAAAATTTTTCCACTATTTTTATAAGCTGTTTAATTTTGGGAATACTTTTTGAAATTCTTGTGGCTTGAGTAAACCAAGTGAATGTGTCTTTGGCAAAGTTTAGACTGTTAGTGTGGTGATATGTCTAGATTGTTTTTTAAGGATTTGTTTGGGGGCTTTTTCGCTTTTTAAATTTTTGTGTGACTTTCCATTTCCTTGCACGTACTTCTAGTTGTCAGTCGACTTTGTTTGAGCTGAGGGAAAAGACCATTAAGTAGTCTGAGGATGCAGGATGAAGATTTTGCTTGGGGGTCCTTAATTACCCCCTAATGGTAGGGTAGAAAAATAAGTCCATTTGCTGTGTGTCAGTGTTGAACTACCTCAAGAAGAGGAATGTAGTACACCATGTTCATCTTGTGCCCAGAGCTCTCAGAACAAGGAGATTATAAATAGGAGAAGGAGGCTTAAATCATCCTGGGTTAGTGAAGTGATGGCTGATGCTGACGTTTATTTGGAGTAAGTTTATACTTTGTGCAGTGTTTATTTACTTCTTGATGGGGCGGGATGCAGTGGGTGCAGTGATGTGCTGAATTGTGTTACATTCTGTGGTAAGGAGGCAGTGTGAGTGACCAGGCAGATTGTATCTCAGTGACATGGCAGTCAGAGCATTAAAGCTTACTCCAGTTGTCTCTTTGAAAAAAAAAAAAAAGTAGCAGGCATGTACTAAAGGCCTGTTTTATATTAGCTACTACCATCATTATCATTATTATTTATAGGGTCAACTACTAATTCTTGGCAAGAATACGATATATCACTACCTACATCCGCTAGCTCATTTGCTACCAGCCATCCTATACTCCTTTCCATCCCTTGGAATACCATTGTTCTTTGACTAAGTATAGTGTTCAAGGAGGCATGAAGAATTTGGACTTGATTCAGGCCATTGTCCTTCGCAAAGACTGATAGAGGCACAGCACCACTCACAAATAGTGGGCAGGGAAGCAAAGGTTAAAGAAACACTTGGGGGGGGGGAGACATAATTGATCTCTGTAATGTTCCGGGCTCTTTCCATGCCTACGGAAAACATTAATCCTCTCCAGATATTGGCTCCTCACCCTTAACCTACGGCGTCCCGAGGAAGATGCACGAGAAGGATGGCAGGTGCTGAAACACAGACCCTGCCATCACAGACCCGTGCTATGCCCTTTCTAGAGAACTGGGGCTGCTTTAAATAACAAAGCAACAAAGACGGGAACGAAGGCAAAAATAAAATGAGACAACAAAGAAATGTTTGGTTCTGCTTCCTCTGTTCCACTGCACCTTCTGCCTACATTGTGTGTGTGTGTCCAGCCTCCTATGTGTCATTGTTCTTTGATGCTTTCTTCAACAGTGGTTCTCAGCCAAGGGTGATTTTGCTCTCTGGGACAGTCAGCACTCTCTGGAAATATTTCGGGTTGTCACAACTAAAAGATGCTATTGACACCTAGTCCAGCTGGGGGTGCTGCTGAGCAAACTACAATGGATTGAACGGCTTGGGACAACAAAGAATTAATCCTGCCCCAAATGTCAATGGTGCCAAGATTAAGAAATTCTGCTCCTCAATAAATCAGCAACAACTTTTGTGACAGGTTGAAACTACTTTTAAACAATTGTTAATACAAATAAAAAATGTCCATATTTGCAAAGAGAGAATAGATTCTTCTAACAGCAGATGGATCAAAATAATTCTTTTAACCACAAAAGGCAAAATTAGTAGTTTAATAAGTCATGGTGCATAACTAGAAAAATGTCTACGAAGGACAGAATTCTTAGTTTAAAGACTAAAAGAATTTCTACCAGAATTTCTTTTAACATTTTACAATTTCTTTATATTTGGATTTGTGTTTTTGGTCCACTATGCGGTTTTACTTGGAATTTGTAATTTAAAACTACAATCCTTGAGGGCGGTGCCTGTGGCTCAAAGGAATAGGGCGCCAGCCCCATATACTGGAGGTAGCGGGTTCAAACCCAGCCCCAGCCAAAAACTGCAAAAAAAAAAAAAAATCCTTGAAAGGACTATACCTTTACTTTAAAAATCTATGGACTTAAAAAAAAAAATCTATGGGCTTCTCTCTTAAACACGCTGCACTTAAGATTTTCCCTACTACTTGATCAAAATTTTTTTTTGTCAAGATTTCGAATGACCCCCCACTTATAAAATTTGAGATTTGTTACCTTATAAAACCAAGAGATTACCAGGGACTGAATCCTAGACCATTTCAACATTAAGATGTTGAGCAGATAAAGGGAAACCAGTAAAAGAAAGTAAGATGAGACATAAAAGCAGAAGGAAAACTAAGTGAGTGAGATGTGGAGACAGTGTTTCAAGAAGGATGGATGGAATAATTAGCTGCATCAAAGGCTGCTGATAAGCCAAGTTAAATGAGGCCAGATCATTCATCACTGAATTTAGCAATGTGGAGATCAAGTAAAATAGCAGCAAAAGGATTATAATGAAAAACTGCCCTACCTCCCTTCTCCCTGGTCCTATTCCCCAAACATAACTAGTTTCAAATCTTTTAACTATTTCTTCTAGTGTTGCATCCTTTTTTTTTTTTTTTGAGACAGAGTCTAATTTTGTCACCCTTGGTAGAGTGTCATGGTATCACAGCTCACAGCAACCTCAAACTCTTGGGCTTAAAGTGATTCTCTTGCCTCAGCCTCCCAAGTAGCTGGGACTATAGGTGCCCACCATAATACCCAGCTATTTTTAGAGATGAGGACTCGATCTGGCTCAGGCTGGTCTCAAACCTGTGAGCTCAGGCAATTCACCCGTCAGGATTACAGACATGAGCCACTATGCCTGGCCCATATTTCTAAATAAAACACTTGTACTACCATTTTCAAATGTTAGTTTATACACAATTCCTTGTCACGTTAGGTTAAGTTTTAGCACTTCTAGCCAACTCAACAAATAATGCACTTGTCTTTCCTCTGTTGGTCAATGACTACAATAAATGTATTGTCGTATTTATTGGTGAAAGACTGAATGTTTTCTCCCCAAGGCTGGGAACAGAGCAACTCACCACTCCTTTTCAACACTATACTGGAAGTCCTGGTTCACACACTAGGGTAAGCAAAAGAAAAAGCATATGGACTGGAATGGAAGAAAGAAAACTCTCCCTTTTCACAGATGACATGATTGTTTATATAGAGAACTCCAAGGAATCTACAAAAAATCGCTTAGAACTAATGGTGGGGGGTGGCGCCTGTGGCTCAGTGAGTAGGGCGCTGGCCCCATATACTGAGGGTGGTGGGTTCAAACCCAGCCCAAACAAACTGCAACAAAAAAAACTAGCCAGGCATTGTGGCGGGCGCCTGTAGTCCCAGCTAGTTGGGAGGCAAGAGAATCACCTAAGCTAAGGAGCTGGCGATTGCTGTGAGCTGTGATGCCACAGCACTTTACTGAGGGTGACAAAGTGAGACTCTGTCTCTAAAAAAAGGAACTAATGGTGGCTTTGGTAAGGTTGCAGAATATCAAGTTAACACACAAAAAATAAATCACATATCTAGATACCAGTACTCTACAATTGGAAATCAAAATTTTAAAAAGCAAAAGCATTTAAAACAGCATTCCTCCTCCATTCATGTTATGACCTAAACTGTGTCTGCCACCAAAATTCATGTGTTGAAGTCTTAACCCCAGAATGTGACTGTATTTGGAGATAAGGTCTTCAGAGAGGTAAAATGAGGTGACTGGAGTGGGCACTTATCCAAAATGACTGGTATCCTTACAAGAAGAGGAGATTAGGATACAGACACACACAGAGAAAATCATGTGAAAATACAGGGAGAAGATGGCCATTTACAAGCCAGGAGAGAGACATCAGAAGAAATCGTCCCTGCTAACACTTTCATCTTGACCCTATACCTGCCAGAGCTAAGAGAAAATAAGTTTGTGTTATTTAAGCCATCCAGTCTGTGGTAGTTCATTATTTCAGCCCTAGCAAACCAATATATCTCCTCCCCTGCAAATGTGAAATACTTATATATAAAATAACAAACATATACAGACACTATATTCTGAAAGCTATAAAATACTGCTGAAAGAAATTTTAAAAGACCTAAAGAAATGGTGGTAGACCATATTCACGCATTTGAAAACTTAACACAATAAAAATATCATTCTTCACCATGTTATTCTACAGATTTAAGACAATTCTCTTTAAAAATCCCAGCAAGAGGAGGAACATGGCGCAAGCTCTGTCTGAGGAGGAGTTTCAGCGGATGCAGGCTCAGCTCTTGGAACTCCGAACAAACAACTACCAGCTTTCAGATGAACTACGCAAGAATGGTGTTGAACTTGCCAGTCTTCGACAGAAGGTCGCCTACCTGGATAAGGAGTTCAACAAAGCTCAGAAGGCATTGAGCAAGAGCAAGAAAGCTCAGGAAGTCGAGGTACTGCTGAATGAAAATGAGATGCTGCAGGCAAAGCTGCACAGCCAGGAGGAGGACTTCCGTTTGCAGAACAGCACGCTAATGGCCGAGTTCAGCAAGCTCTGCAGCCAGATGGAACAGCTGGAACAAGAGAACCAACAACTAAAGGAGGGGGCTGCTGGAGCAGGGAGTGTCCAAGCTGCATCTCTCGTGGATGGGGAGCTGCTGAGACTACAGGCAGAAAACACTGCCTTGCAGAAGAATGTGGCAGCCTTGCAGGAGCGCTATGGGAAAGAGGCCAGGC